CTGAGGCACTGTTGGGACTTCAGATGGGGAAATGGAACGAGCTGACAGGTCTTATTGCCCCTAAGGGGCTGTCCCTTCCCTCCTTGGCAGCTGAACCAGTAATGGGCGAGGCTGGGGTCCTCACCCTGCATGGCACATGGAGGCCGACAGGAGGTCTGGCTGTCCACAGCAAAGGCTCTGAGCAGCTGGGCTGCACACGGACTCTTCCCTTGCTCTTGGTCATGTCTATAGGGCTGTGGCTGCAGATTGAGTGCTTCCCCCCAGGAACCAGTGAGGCCAGCGCTGGGGACCCCCTGGGTGGTTGCTCATTAGTCACAATCAGCTGGGTCAGGAGTACAGCTCTTGCCCTGCCTACCTGCAGCTTTTGACAGATCCTGGCGCTTGGGCTCCTCCAGGCTCTTGGGGACACTGATTCAGCCCCCCTTTGGTGCTCTGGCCCTCTCCTGTGCTCTGAACCAGGCTCCATCTTCACCAGCATCACCCATCCTCCACTGTGGGAAGTGCCCTGCGCTGTCATGGCCACTGGCCCCAGCCCTGCAGCCCCCACTCATCCCTGTCTGGAAGCTGGACCCCTACGGGGCATGCCCGTCCGCCCAGCCTGAGCAAGAGGGCCGTGTCAGGCCCATGCCTTTCCACCTGTGCTTGGTGCCCCACGGTGGTATCACTGCAAACCTCAGCAGATCACGTTCCTTAGCACCTTGTTGTAGCTGCTGCACAGGCGAATAGAGGGCCCAGGGCAGGAGACTAGCCTCAGGCCCCCGTCCTGCCCATGGCTGTGCCTCATGGCCATGACTAGAACCATTATGAAACCTCTTGTATACAAGTACAATTAGTTGGGTAAATTCTTGGAAGAACTAAAAAGAAGAAAAACTCGATTACTCCTCCACATGGGTACAAGGACAGGGAGGTGTGCTTATCCAGCTTCCTCCATGTTGGGTGCCTTTGTTTTTGTCTTTGGGTGCTGGGGGTTGACCCAGGGGTGCTCTTCACTGAGCTATATCCCAGCCCTTTTTATTTTTTGAGACGGGGTCTTGCTAAGATGCCGAGGCTAGCCTTGAACTTATGATCCTCCGGCCTCAGGCTCCCGAGTTTCTGGCATTACAGGCCTGCACCAGTGTGCCTGGCACACTTTTGTGTCTTACGTGACAACAGTACAGTACAGCAGTGAACCAGGAATGTGACGTGGGTGTGGTGCTCCAAGTCATTGCAGGGTGCCTTCGAGGTGCAGGACTGTCCCCATCACAGACCTCTCCTTCTTATTCACACCCCTACTACGAACCCAGCCCACTCTCAAGAGGCAATTGGCTCTTGAAAGACTGCCCCTTCTTCACTCCACAGATGGGCACTTGCAATAAACAAGGTGCTGAGATTGGTCACTACCCAGACGGGAGCAGTTTTCGGGGAGCACACAGGTGGTAGGAACGGGAGCCAAGTGTGCACAGCTGTCTGAGGGCTGGAGCTTGGGGGCCTTGTGGGAACTGGAGTCCACACCTGGAGTGGAGACTGCTCTGGGGTGCCCAGGAACCCCCTCGTGCCCCTGCCCGGCCCCTCACCAGGGCTGAGACAGCCCAGGGGCTGGGAGGCATGGGGAGCTCTCACAGCTGCTGGGGGCTCCTGCTCAGGCCTCCTTGAGATACATGGTTTCCCTGGAGCCATGTTTGAGGGCACTGCAGGGACTGCTGACAGAGCTGTGCTCGAGACCTCAAGGATGATCCCAAGAAGGGAGGGATGGTGGGACCAGGAGGGCTTCCACAGGTGGGCCAAGCACCGACAGGAGGTGGCAGACAAGGGGGGTCCAGTCTGTGGGCTGTGCCCAGCAGGGGGATCAGGAAGGGTGGGAGAACACCAGCAGGGCCCTGGGACTCCATGGCTACCTCGCCACTCTTCTAAAGAGGGAGCTGTGTCTGAGACCCAGGGCTGCTGGAGCATGGTGTGTGACACCCCCCGCCCCAACTCCAGCCCCCTGGAGGCCAGTCTCTGGCAGGCATACCTCTGCCTGCAGCTTCCCTTGTCAGGCGCGGGCTCCTGCCCCTGGGGCCTCGGCTGTGGCTGTGGGTCCTCCTGTTGGGGCTGCTTGCAGGAACTCGGCCCCACGCCATGCTTTCCCAAACAGGCTTTCTTTGAAATCTTGGTGGAAGCCTCATGACCCTGTAATCCCTGCATGCGGCATGCTGCCATCCAGTGTCCTGTGAACACCAAGCCCCCACCAACACAGACCCTCAGGCACCTGAAACATGACTGCAGCAGCCTCAGTGCTGGTGAGAAACTGATTCCTGGTGGCTTTGGGCACATCAGGCACCCAAGGCTCCTTTCTCAGACTGCCCTGGGAAGTCGGATGCAGATTCCCATCTCCCCCTTTCTGAGTGACTCCAGGTTTATTGTATTGCTTCTGTGCAGAAATAGCTGATTTTTTTTTTTTTTGGCCCTGCATCCTTGCACTGTCCTGGGCTGCACTTGACCTACAGTCCTCTCCCATCCAAGCTGCAAATCTCCCAATCTTCCTCTTCACTCCTGACCCTCCTTGGTTTGTCTAAAAGCAGCAGGTGACACCCATACTGAGGTCTGCCCATCGCCTTGTAGTTTGGCCTCAGTGTGACCAAGATGGCTTTTGGTCCAGTTCCCGAGTTCCTCATTTCCACCTGAAATGCCACCCTTTGCCACCTGGAGCGCCCCCACCATCACCACAAAGCTCCACAGACAGCTTCAGGCTTCCTCTGGCTGCTCCTCCAAATTCTCCCAAACCTAAGTCACGTGTCAGGTATCAGGATCCCCCAGACTGCCCCACCCCTTGGGACCAAAGCTGTGACAAGCTTTTCTTCACCACCACAAGATACCTGAGGTGATTATAAAAGGGAAAGATTCATCTGGGCCCCGGGTTTCAGAGGTCTTAATGCAGACTGGCCCTGCTGCTTTGGGGCTGTGGTGAGGCAGCACGTCCCTGGGTGTGTGGAGGGGGGGCGGGGGGGGAAAGCCTCTAAGCCCTTGGGGCCAGAAAGCAGAAAGAAGGGAAGGGGCCAGGACCCCACAGGCTCCTTGGGGGCTTGCCTCCAGAGACACTGGGACCTCCCAAAAGGCCCCACCTCCCAACAGTACCTGACTGGGAACCAAGCCTTTGCCACCAACACTCAAGTACAGAACTCTCAAAATACAAAGGGAACCTTCAAACAGCGGGAGAGACCTGTCACAGACAAGGGCTCTCCAGGGAGATGAATGGCCGATTCCCTGTCACAATCACAGGGGCCAGAAGTAAGTGGGATGATCATTTACATATTTTGGTGCTGGGGACTGAACCCAGGGGTGCTGTACACTGAATGTGGTACCACCAGCTCTTTTTTGTTCTACTTTTTATTTTGAGACAGGGTCTTACTAAGTTGCCCAGGCTATCCTTCCTTGAACTTGGGATCCTCTCGCCTCAGTGTCCCAAGGCACTGGGATTGCAGGTGTGTGTCCTGTACCTGGCAGGAATGACACATTAAAAGTGAGGAGCAAAGAACATTAACCACTTGGGTGTGGTGGTTCATGCCTGTGATCCCAGAGGTTCAGGAGGCTGAGGCAGGAGGACTGGGAGTTCAAAGCACCCAAGTGGGACTTACCAGCATGATTCGGGGGGTGGTTTGTATCAGAAACCCACCAGAATAGCAGACCATGCTGTGTGAGCAGAAGGGAAAAGCCACAGTCACTCTCAGTGGGCACAGAAAAGGTGCTAATAACTGCTGGTGCCTTCCACGGTCGAAGAGGACCTTGCCACGTCATAGAGGTCTCATGAGAAACCCACAGCTAACATCCAGCTCAGTGGCAGTGCCCGTGAGCTTGTCCTCCAGGATCAGGGACAGGGAAGAGGCCTGCTTTCCCACTGCCATTCACTGTCACACTGGAAGGCCAGCCAGGCAGCTGTGGAGGAAAGGTGCAAAACTGTGTCTACCTACAGATGATAGGAGCCCATACGTATAAAATCCCCCCAAGTTCCACACAAAAGCTGCTAGAGCTGGTAAGAAAATGCAGTAAAGTTGTAGGGTTTGAAATCAATGAACAACTCCAGCTGCATTTCCACGCACCAAGGAACAATCTAAAAAGGAAATTCCAGGGGCTAGGCTGTGGCTCAGCAGTAGAGCGCTCGCCTAGCACATTTGAGGCACTGGGTTCGATCCCTAGCATCACATAAAAATAAACAGATAAAATAAAGATATTATGTCCAACGACAACTAAAAAAAACATGAAGAGTTTAAAATAAATAAAATTTATTTAAAAAGAAAACAATTCCATTTACAATGACATCTATAAGAATAAAACACCTAAAGGTACATTTTTTTTTAAAGAGAGAGTGTGAGAGAGAAATTTTTAATATTTACTTTTTAGTTTTCGGCGGACACAACATCTTTGTTTGTATGTGGTGATGAGGATCGAACCCGGGCTGCACGCATGCCAGGCGAGCGCGCTACCGCTTGAGCCATATCCCCAGCCCCCTAAAAGCACATATAATCAATGAAGTGAAACACACTGAAAACCACCAAGTGTTGTTGCAGAAAGGAAAGATCTGAATAAGGAGAAAGATGCCCCTGTCCATGCACAGGAAGGACACTAGGACACTATCAACAGAGCAAAGAGATAGCCGTAGCTGGGCATGGTGGCGCACACCTGTGATCCCAGCAGCTCGGGAGGCTGAGGCAGGAGGATAGCGAGTTCAAAGTCAGCCTTGGCAATGGCAAGGTGCTAAGCAACTCAGTGAGACCCTGTCTCTAAATAAAATACAAGATAGAGCTGGGGATGTGGTTCAGTGGTTGAGTGCCCCTGAGTGCAATCCCCGGTACCCCTGCCCCCCAAAAAAGACAGCTATAGAATGGAGGAACAGGGTCTTGTTAGTGGTCCAGGGTGACCTCCAATTTGTGATCCTCCTGCTTCAGCCTCCCGAGTCACTGGGATTACAGACATGCACCTCCATGTCTGGCCAGCAAACCCACTTCTGTGTTCATGCACAAAGGAATTGAAAATAGGGACTCGGGTAGTGTTGTACACCTGTATTTATTGCAGTTTATTCACAAAAGCAAAGACGTGGAGCAACTCAAGTGTCTGTTGACAGGTGAATGGACACACACGATGTGGTGACATCTACAGTGGATCAGCCAGGAAAAGCAGGGACTTACACAGCAGGGGTGTAGTCACCTCTGGGCACTGCTTAGTCTACCCAGTGACACACCTGAACTCAGCTCCCAGGGAGAGCAGAGGATGCTGCCAGGCTTGGAGGGGGCTGGACACTACTGTGTAAGGAGGCTGTTCTGTTGGGGTACTGAAGTAGCTTGTGAAATAGATAACAGTGACCATGCATCACACAGAGTCCCAGCTTCACCATCACTAAGAGTATCTCCTTATGGGTTTACTACAGAGACCAGCAGGGCCCTAAGGCAGGTGCAGCAGGCGTGGAGTGGAGCTCTGGACAGATTTGGGAACAGTGTCTCTCCAGTGCCAGCAGCTCTGAGGTCTGAGCAGGCAGAGTGGATAGTGGTCAGGGGCTGGCATGGTCCCAGGATCTCTGTCTGACCTGGGAGAGGTGGGAGGAGGTGGCCTGGACCCACAGACATATTGCAGGTGGGCCAGAAGCACTGAGCAGCCTGGGTCCTGGGTGGACTGGGGGTGGAGGAGGGCTAGGTCACTGCCTCCTGGCCTCCCACAGTCCAGACCCCTGGGATGCCCCTCACCTGGTACCTCTCTCCCTCTGTCCTGCAGATCTGCAGCAGATGCACACACCTGGCCAGCCTGGGGATGCAAGGAGAGGGTCCCTCAGAGCTCCAAGTCTGCAGCAGGTGCCTAGGCCCACCTGCTCTTGGTTGCTCTGCCCCGGGTGACCACTGTGCCCTACAGGCTGAAAGTAGTAGAGGACATGGGGTGACCTGGAGCTGGGGGCGTGGCGCTGTAGAAGCTATGCCCCGAGGGTTAGGTAGACACTGGGTCCAGAGCCATCTTCTGGAAGAGGCCTTGCCACATGTGCCAAGGGGTCACATCAGAAGCCTCACCTCCACAGGAACCATCGGCCTTGCCCACCCTCACAGGCTCTGGGGACCCTGCACTCTCCAGCCCCTCTGGGGCTCACACAGGGTCTCTGCAGGGCCAGCTGTGTGGACATGGCTCCATTCATGCTTGAGTCCCCTAGGCCATGGACGGACTCTGGGGAAGGCGGCTCCTCCCTCCTGTGCTTGTGTGGGCACAGTGGGTGCCAGTCAGGGGAGCAGAACAGCCATGTTCCTGCCTGCCCAAGCCCCGGGCACCCCCACTTCCATGGTTGGGCCCCTGCTTTCATCAGGGACCCCTTCCTGGAGCCCATGTCTCCCGTGGGGAAGGCCAGGCCTCTCCTCCTGTCTGGCTCTCCCTGAGGACACTGCCCTCAGCCCTGTCACCCTGTGCTTCGGTGCTCGGGGCAGCTGGCTGCTGCTTGGCTGTGAGCACACCCTGCCCAGCGTCGGCCCACAGGCAGGTGAGCTGACTGGGCTGCTGGGTGGGGGCAGGCCCGGCCGTCTCCCTCAGGGCCTTCCTGGGGCCTGGGCTCCCTCCCTTCTCCCTCCGGGACCCTCTCTCCATTCTGTGGCCCTCTTTGGCTGGGCGCATGTGCCCTGCCCACTGTGCCCACACAGCCCTGGGCCCCAGCCCTCATCTGCCTTGTGGGTCCCATGGCAACCATCCCCATGGGAACACAGTGGGTGCCCAGGAACCCTCAGGACCTGCCACGACCCAGAAGCTGAAGCCCACTGGAGGGTCAGGCCAGCCCTGCTCCGGGTTCCAGCTACGGTAGGAGGACCAGCCCCGCCCTGATTGTCACATGAGGCTGCCCTACTGTCATGTGATCCTGCTCACGTGACCGCCGGGTGCCGTTCACAGAGCCAGACATGAGGCCCCAGTTCAGGGTGCCCCTGGACTGTGGGGCCCCTTTCTGGGCGCAGGTCCTGCTGCTGACACTGGGGCTGGGTGACGTCCAGGCTGGGGGTGAGTGTCGACCCAGCGGCCCCTCCTCCCTGACCCTTCAGGCCCTGGGCACCCCTGGCCCCTGATGGTCCCTGAGCCCCCGTTCTCCCCTCAAGCCCACAGAGGCCTGGACGCTGGCTTTCGGGAGAGGTACTTTGAGCAGTTTATGGACCATTTCAACTTTGCGAGGTTTGGCAACAAGACCTTTTACCAGCGGGTGCTGGTGTCAGGTGAGCCCTGCCCCGTCACCTGCCTGCTGCACCTGTCCTGTCCTCACTGCCTGGTGCCCGTTGCACCTGCCCTGGCCTCACCACCCCGTCCCCTGCAGACAAGTTCTGGCGAAGGGGCGAGGGGCCCATCTTCTTCTACACGGGGAACGAGGTGGACGTGTGGGCTCTGGCCAACAACACAGGCTTTGTGGTGGAGCTGGCGGCCCAGCAGGGCGCCCTGCTCATCTTTGCAGAGCACGTACGTACCGGCCAGCTCCAGGGGTCCCCAGATGGCGGCTGGGCACAGGGGGCAGCCAGGTCAGCCTTCCTCCCTTACCACAGCGATACTACGGGAAGTCGCTCCCGTTTGGGGAGAAGTCCACGCAGCCCGGGTACACGGAGCTGCTGACCGTGGAGCAGGCGCTGGCCGACTATGCCGTGCTGATCCAGACCCTGCGGCAGAAACTGGGAGCACAGGGTGGCCCTGTCATCGCCTTTGGAGGGAGGTGAGTCTTCAGAGACCAGCAGAGGGCTGGCAGGGCCACCATGGGCAGAGGTGGAACCCCTGCTCGTTCAACTCCCTGACACCGACCCCAAATCCCCAGGGTGGCCATCACCCTGTCCAGACCAGTCAGGCCTGGAGAGAGTGCGGCCTCTTGAACACTCCACCCCCGCCTAGCCTGAGTGCTCAGGTGTCACTTGTCCCCTCTGCCCCAACCCCCCACCTTTCACGAGTCCACAGCAGCTCCAGACCTTGTGCTGCCTGCTCCAGGAAGCCCTCCCCACTGGTCCTGAGCCAGTCCCCAGGCTGGGCCGAGGAGAGGGATGTCCACCAGGGACCTTTTCCCAGTGAAGGCTGTGCCTGACTGAGGCCAGGGTCAGAACTGGTGGTCACGGAAGTTTCAGTTCCTTCTTTTAACACCTGTGGTCTGCAAGGAAAGCAGAGGAAGTGGGTGTGGGGGGTGGGAGGACAAGCCAGAGGCCAGGGCAGGGCTGCGGCCAAGCACAGGCTGAGCACCCTAACCTGTGCCTGCCCAGCTACGGGGGGATGCTCAGCGCCTACATGAGGATGAAGTACCCCCACCTGGTGGCAGGGGCGCTGGCAGCCAGCGCACCCGTCCTGGCTGTCGCAGGCCTTGGTACCTCCAACCAGTTCTTCCGGGACGTCACAGCGGTGAGTGAGGGCCTGGGGGTCCTGGGCCAGCCTGGGCCAGCCACTTCAATGACTGTGGTCTGTTCTCCAGACCTTCCACAGCCAGAGTCCAAGGTGTGTCCAGGGCGTGCGGGAGGCCTTCCAGCAGATCAGGGACCTGTTCCTACAGGGAGGTGAGGGGCCACAAGGCCACTGCCCCGCCTGCCCCCTCAGCCCCCACTGACCCCTCCCCCTACAGCCCCCACGGCCCATGCCCCACCAAACCTTCCAGCAGCCTTCCTCTGTCCCTTCCCTGTAGCCCGTGACAGGGTCAGCCAGGAGTTTGGCACCTGCCAGCCACTCTTGGACACAAAGGACCTGACTCAGCTCTTTGTGTTTGCACGCAACGCCTTCACTCTGCTGGCCATGATGGACTACCCATACCCCACTGACTTCATGGGGTACCTGCCTGCCAACCCTGTCAAGGTGAGGCGCCTCTCTAGGTGCAAGGCCAGCCCAGCTTCCCTGGGTGGTCGGGGCCAGCCCAGCCCCAGGGCGTTGTCCCTACTCAGGTCAGTTCATCCCCACAGCCCTGACTGATCCTCATCCTGGGACCATGAAGGTTGGGCTGTGGGTGGGGACTCCTCTGAGATTCTCTGATGCCCCTATATCCCAGGTTGGCTGTGACCGGCTGCTGAGGGAGGCCCAGAGGATCGTGGGTCTGCGGGCACTGACAGGTGAGTATGACCCTCAGCTTTGCATAGGGCAAGTTGGAGACCCAACCGCTGGTCTGGGGCTGGGCAGAGCAAGGACTTGCAGCCCTGGACTTGGGCTCTGCCTCCTGACCACCTGGGCTGCGGCAGGAAAGCCATGAACCGCAGCTGAAGGACAGAAACAGAACCCATGCCAGGAGGGCTAGGCAGAAGCTCTGTAGGGTGGCAACAAGGTCCCCACAGGAGGTGCTGTTCAGTGGGGCCCCTGGGGTCAACAGGCATGGAGGTCAGCATGCCCCACCCTGCCAGTGGGGAAGGTCAGGTGACACTGGACTGCCTTCAGTAGCCAGGGCAGAGCTGACGGCAGAGCCCCACAGATCCCCAAGCAGAGCCCAGGGACTCCCCACCTGCAGGGCCTTCCCAAGGGGGATGGGTTGGTAACCTGAGCGTGCAGGATTTGTGTCCACTGCTGATCCCAGCATCCCTCCTCCCAGGGCTGGTCTACAACTCCTCGGGCACAGCACACTGTTACGACATCTACCAGCTGTACCACAGCTGTGCAGACCCCACTGGCTGTGGCACTGGCCCTGATGCCATGGCCTGGGACTATCAGGTGTGGGGTGTGGGCAGCATGAGTGGCTGGATGTGGGTGTGGGCACTCCCCCTGCCTGCCTGACCTTGGGGCGGGGCATCCAGGCCTGCACCGAGATCAACCTGACCTTTGACAGCAACAACGTGACGGACATGTTCCCTGCCCTTCCGTTCACCGCCACGCTCCGCCAACAGTACTGCCTGAATAAGTGGGGCGTGTGGCCTCGGCCGGACTGGCTGCAGACCAGCTTCTGGGGCGGTGGTAAGGGCTGGGGGTGGGGTTGCTGGGCAGCACCCTGAATCGGCACCTGCCACAGTTCACAGCTCCAAGGGCCACACTGGGTCCTTTGCCACCACTTGGTATCTTTCAGACCTCAGAGCCACCAGCAACATCATCTTCTCCAATGGTGACCTAGACCCCTGGGCAGGGGGCGGGGTGAGTCCTGATCTGGGCAGCTGTGGACCCCCTTGAGAACTTTTGGCTCCGGGGCCACTGGTTTTGCTGAGTGGTATCAAGGGGGCCTCCCTATCAGTCTACCAGAACCTCAAAGAGCCAGCTTCGCCCCAAGGCCCCCTCAGTTCCACCCTCCACTTCTGCTCCGGTCCCTACTGTTCCCTCCCACTTTCTGGTTTCCGTTTCCTGATTACATCTGGCTCGCTGACCTTCACCTTCCCTCTCCAATGGGGCCGCTGGAGCCCATGCTGACAGCTGGGTGGGAAGGCTGAGGGGGGCTGCCTATGGCCCATAGCACAAGCTGCGAGCCTGACAGGAGATCCTGCCACCAACGACAGATTCTGAGGAATGTGAGCGCGTCAGTCATTGCTGTCACCATCCACGGGGGAGCACATCACCTAGACCTCAGGTGCAGCCAGGCAGTCCCACCTCGGCTGACAGCTGGGTGTGGGTAAGGCTCACCCTGACGGTTGGGGTCTGCATGTCCAGCTGAGTGCCCCAACCCCTGTGCCCTCTTCAGGGCGTCCCACCCACAAGACCCCAGCTCGGTCCTGGAGGTGCGCAGGCTGGAGGCTGCTCTCATCCTTGAGTGGGTGAAGGCAGCCCGGAGTAGGCAGCAGTGTCCTGGACACCCTGAGGAGTGAGGAGCTGCTGGCCGCCCGTCCTGCCCTGGACACACTGTTTGGGTCCACAGTGTGGCTGGGGCATTGTGGGAACCTCAAGCAAAGGGGCCGGGTGTGTCCCTGGAGGCTGGGCAGGAGCCCCCTGCTCAGTGCCTGCTGAAGCTGTAGAATGTTCAATAAAGCACAGACTTGACTCCAAGGCTGGCACTTGAGGGTAACGGGGGTGGGGTGGGGGGAGATTTGCCTTTCCCAGGGACCCACCTCCCTGCTCAGAAAGCCACTCTACGTCCTGAAAAAAGCCCACTGCTTGGTGGACAGAACTTCATTAGAGCCTCAGGCCCTCAGCAACCCCCGGAGGAGTCTCGTCCCCAGCCCTCAGCATTGGCCACCCCTTCCAGAGCACATTTATTTGGGAGTTGGAGACGAGATATGGAAGCTGTACTTTACTTGGCTGCTCAGGACCCACTTACATCCAATCCCTCAGCAGGCCGCAACTGCTGCCCAGTCCTGCCTGTTCAGTATATGGAACTCCTGGCCTGGAGGGCTGTGGGGGAACATGGCTACCCCCTAAATGTGGGGAGGTTATAGGGTGTCCTCAGTGAATCCAGGAGCCATAAGGCTGAGGTCCAAGAACCGTTGCAGCCAGGCCCTTCCATGCACACACTTCTTGGGTCAGAGTTGGCCTGGGGTGTAAGAAACAGAGGAGGGCCCTGAGGGCACCTGCCATCCTGGGAGGCACAGGTAGCTGACACAGGATGGCCTAGCTGCAGGCAGGCAGGGAACACATCCTGCCAGGCCTAAGGGGCCAAGATCTTGAAGGCCCCAGCCTATCAGGTGGCCCCGGGGTGCTGCCTGGGCTCCAGCTTTTCAGTTGAGAACTGAAAGCAAAGGGTTCTTTATGTTAACACAGACAGGCAGAGAGACCACCTTGGTCTGTAACAGAGGACCTCAGCCAAGGCCCAGGGCCAGCCCTGTGACAAGGACCCTGTGCCTGACGATAAAGACCCTGCAGCTGATGGCAAGGATGAGGACAACTGTCCTGGTATCCAAGGCTTGGCACCACTCTTGGAGACCTCACTCCAAGAACATGCTGGCTAGCAGCCTCAGGGCACTGCAGACTGTCAGGACCCAGCTGGCAGAAAGGTGACCCCGCTGACCCACGTCACCACACTGCAGGGCTTCCCCAAGCAAGCCCTTCTCACCTGGAGGGCAGCAAGAGTCCTGACCTTGGGATGGATACTGAGGGGAGACCCAGAACTGCTACCCAAAGGTCGGCCCAGACTTCCCAGCCCAGAGACCCCCTTCCACACACAGGAGCTGCCACACTGGTAGCAAGTGGGTTTTATCTCAACTGAGAAGTCCCTTTCCATCCAGAGGCCTGGGAGCAGGAAGAACCGGCCACCCAGCCGCAGCAAGCCCCTCCAGGCAGACAGGATCCCTGAGTCCAATGTGTAAACACCCACTCCAAGAAAGGCTGGCCCCCGGGGAGGCCCCAAGCCATGGCCTGCCAGGCCACAGAGGCTCCTCCAGACCATGGGCCAGGGCACATCCCAGGCCACCAGCTGGAGCAGAGCTGCCTGGCGGGCTCCTCCAGCTCCTCTCTGAACACGATTCAGCAGCCTCAGAAGGGGACCAGAGGGCCCAGGGCCATCAGGAAGCTCCCTGAAAGCCAGTCTGCTGGGACATCAGGGACATGAGTCAGGAGTCGTGATTTGATTTTCTTGAGGATGAAGGCCAAAGGTGCTTGGTGAACTGGTCACCTGAACCCCACACCAGCTCACATGGGGCTCTTGTTCCTCACACCACCCTAATTTGAAGCAAGAGACCAGGAGAGCCCAGAGCTGGGGCAGGAGCATTGGCACTTGGCAGCTGCCCAGTACCACTGGGCCCCGTGACACATGCCAGGCTCGGCGAGGCCACACTACCCCCTCAGCTATCCCAGCCCGGAGCCGCCCTAGGAGAGGGCCCAGATGGGCAAGGGGTGCGCTTCTGTGTTGAACACATAGGTGTCCAGGCTGAGCAGGTTCTGGTCGTCGGAAAACAGCAGATAGAGGTACTTCAGGGTCTCCCCCAGGAAAAAGCTCTCCATCTTGTCCCTAGGCTCAGGCTTGTGGGGGTTCTGGACATTGTTGATGGATGTATAGCCACCTGAGGGGACCTGTAGGAGAGGCAAGGCCTCTGAGACATGGGCTGGGCCCTCCCATGGGCTGGGCCCTCCCACGGTCCCCACAAACCCAGTGCAGGCTTGGGCTGGAGAGTGCCTCAGCAACAGCCCCCCAAAGTCAGCTGTGCTTCTACTAGGGACCCCTGGAAAATGCCAGCAGCTTCTGAGTGCCTACAATAGAAACTCTCTCTCCAGCACCTGGGCTGAGGGACTTCAGCAAGGACGGACGAGGGCACAGGGTCTCCAGGGCCAGTGCTTCAGGTACAACTGGGCAAAGGGCAGGGGCAGCTGGCTGGAAGCTGGGACAGCTGAAGTCTTGGGCCCCAGGCCAGGGGACAACACACAGAGCCAGGTGTCAGGGTGGGGCTATGTCTGCCTCTGGATCCATAGTGGTGGTTGCTGGGCCTGGGCAGGGCATGACCTTCCCTGAACTGGGGCCATCTGTAAGACAGGACGCCAAGCATCTTGCAACCACAGGGTGGGCAGCGCCCTGGTCACTGCAGCAAGTGCCTCTCAAACAATGGGCCACACTCTTGGGAGTGCAGCAGGGGCCCTTCCCAGGAAGGCGTGGCCCAAGAGACAGAGTTCCAGAGCACCCAGCCCTCCACGCACAACAGGTCTCCGTGCCAGAGCTCAGCGGGCAGCTGTGCCAGCTGGGTCGGACAGAGCTGGCAGGGTCACCTCCAGGCCCCCAGAGCTGGCCCCACCTTGCCACCACTATCCTGGGGCACTGCCAGTCCTCAGCCAATTGACCTGTGGTGCGAGGGCAGCTGGGGGCTCACCCGTGTGTACTTGTTGAAGCTCTGCAGGATCTCCCAGCCCCAGTCCTGGTACTTGCGGTCTCCTGTGGTACGGTACAGGTAGAACAGGCTCTCGACGGTCTCGGGCCGCAGCAGGTTGTGCCTGTCAGCTGGCTGGGAGGAGAGCAGCGGCTCAGGGTGGCAGCCCTGTGCCCAACTCACCCCCAACACTCTCAAGCACAGCCCAGACCCAGGCTTACCTTGACCTTCACGTCCAGATTGTCTGTAGGAGGGTAAAGGTTGAAGTGCACGATCTCAGGGCTTAGGCCTGTCTCCATTTGTCGGTTCATCTGGTAACAGGTTTCCATGAGTGCCCGGGCCAGCTCCATGTGGTCAGCAGGCAAGCCGTGGTGGACGCCCAGAGCTAGCGTCCCTGGCAGGAAGCACACGAGGTGGTCCTGGAACCAGAGCGTCTCCTCACAGCTGGACCCCAGCACACTAGCCTCCAGTTCCCCGGAGGGAGAGCTGCAGACAGGCAGCCTGAGCAACCCTCCTCCTGGGCAGAACTGCAGGGATGGATGCAGTGTCCAGGAGAAAAGCTGCAGCACAGGCTCCTCCCAAGGGCAGGTGACCCAGGCATCACAGGCCCCTCCAGCCTGCCTACAGGCACCTCTGGACCTGCCGCAGGTCAGGCACCTGAGGCAGGGCTCTGGGGGCTGGCCCTGGGACTGCCATGGGGAAGGCCAGGTCAGGAGAAAGGGTCCGCCTGTGACCACAGCCCATGTCCCTTGTTCCCCTGGCCAGGGTTCCCCTGTTCCTCCTGACATGCACTCAGGGGCTTCGAGACCACAAAGAAACAGGAGCCTCCCTAAGGCCCACAGCCCTCGAGACTCACCATCTTGGCACTGAAGCGGTCGTGGGTGAGCTCCCCTATGAAGGTGAGCTTGTTGGGCTCCGAGTGCCTCACCAGGTGTGTTTTTATCCCCTCAATGGCTGCAAGGTAGTCCTCCAGCAACCTGTGGACACCACAAGTCAGCTCCCCCTGGCCTCCGCCAGGGTCACAGGACCAGGCAGGTCACTGCCTAGGGACCAGATGTTGCACACAACCCAGGCCCACATATAGGCCCTGAGCTCCTGCCCAGCTGGGTGCTAGCAAGGTGTGGGCCTTGCTCAAGAGCCCAGCCCCTCACTCCTATGAAGGCCATGACAGGGAAGCACACACACAGGAGCCAGGCCATGCCTGAGGCGCTGCGGCTCCTGCCCAAGGACGGGGAGGGTGGGTTGGGGTCCCACATCAAAGGCAGCAGAAGCAGGCCTCACTGTGTCTCCTGCTTCCCTCCCTGGATCCACTGCTTCAGCAGGTACTCGTAGTAGCTGTCGGCCCTGGCGCCCAAGGTGAATACACCCAGGTGGGTGAAGGAGCCGCTGTGTGTGTTGATGAACATGGGCACCAGCCCATCCTTCTTCCCAGACAGTTGGTGAACGTGCCTTGTCACCTCCTCCGCGGCCTCCTGCAGCACAGGGGAGAGCGGGTTTGCTGTAGGCGGTCCTCCAGCCCCTTCAACTCACGATGCAGGAGCGCCTCCTCAGAGGTCAAAAATCCCAAGAAGAGAGATCAACACGCACCCGACTGCACCAGCGATGAGGAAGGGTTAGCTTCAGCAGGAACCCAGTCCTACCTGGAACTTCTTGACCCCTGTGAGACGAGAGAGCTCGCGGAACTCCAACTGAATGCTCGTCACCTCGGACACTGTGCTGTCTGAGGTCCACTGGGGTGGGTGGGCAACTCCAGTGCCGATGTTCACATCGGAGTATGGAATCTTGGAGGGCGTCATGAAGGCTGGCATTAGCCGATTGCCAAAATCTTTCTGACATAAAAGCAAGCAGACAACCGGGCTCAGGTCAGAGCCTCTTCCATGCTCAGAACTCTAAGGTGCCACCCATGGTCATCCAGGCAAGAGGCAGCGTGGCGCTTGGTATACCCAATGCACATCAGCATACACGAGCTGAGCATGATCCCCCCCTACCGGGCAAGGCAGCGCCAGGCAGCACCACTCAGCTATCTGCCCTTCAAGGCAGGACCAGCAGACACTCACAGCCTTCCTCAGGAAAAGCCCGTCCCCGGACAGGTGGTAGGTGCTCAGGAGTCCGCCCAGGATGCGGATGGTACTCTCAAACAGGTTCACATCCACGTCTTTCTTAAAGTTTAACTTCTGTGACACCCACGTTCTGGCTTCTTCAAATTCTGTGACACCACAGAGTGAAGTCACAGGTATGTCATTCTCCTGCAATCCATCTCCTAAGCCTGCTGGGGAGACTCATCCTGCAGGGTTCCAGGGCCAGCGCCAAGGTCATGAACTTTCAGGCCCATCAAGTGGCCCAGCAACTGCAAACATTCCCCAGGACTGGACATGATGGCAGCAATGCTGCCAACTAAGCAGGTCACTTGGACGGAGGTGGCACCACCAAGAGAACAGCCCAGGGCAGGTCCACCTCAGGCCTACAGGGCCCTCTGACAGCCCCATCATAGTACAGTGCCACAGCAGACTGGACATACCTCCTGGACATCCTCTAGGAGGCCAGGGGACAGCTCCTGAGTGGGCCTGGGAGGCTGGACACACAAATAGGCCCCAACTGTGCCACACACCCACCCCTGTGCCCAGGAGGAGGGTAAGCCCAGCACGGCTTTCCCAGGTATCACACAGAACAGCTTGGCCCTGCTCCAGAAATGAGCCATTACCTTGCTTCAGACCCAAAATCCACATGGTGTCCAGGGCGTCGATCAGAGTGAGGCCCAGGCCGAACCACTCACTGAAGGACCTGGACACAGGCCTGAGCTCGTCGTGGCCCCAAGCAAACTGGCGGTACCCCTTCCACGCATGTCGAAAGGCCTCGATCACCCCTTCCTGGCGCTCGTTTAGGAGTGCTAGAAGAGAACACGGCCGTGGGGATATGGTTCTGGTGCTGCTGTCAGGGCACAAGCGGGAAGCCCTCCAGGCAGAGCCCAGCAATGGGCCCAGGTGAGTGGAGCAGGAGGGACACTGGCCAGGGCCAGGAATGTTGGGCACACAACTATGATCCCAAAGACTGAGGCAGGAGGCTGAGGCAGGACTGTAAGTTCAAGGCCAGCCTCAGCAACATAGAAAGTCCCTGTTTCAGAATGAAAAATAGAAAGGTCTGGGATGTAGCTCACCAGTAGAGTATCCCTGGGTTCAATCCCCAACACCGGAAAAAAAAAAAGCCCAGGCCAGGAGTCAGAGAGGCCATGGGGGTGCCCTTCAGGCAGACATAGCCTATCAAGCAGATGAGAACTCCAGAGGTCACACAACTACACCAGGCATTCAGCCCCTGTGGAGCTGGCTGTCCACTGTGGCACAGGGGCCTCTATTCAAGGCTTGTGAGGGCAACACTCCCACAGCCCACTGGGACAAGGTCCCCCTTTTGTGGTGCAGGGGGTGAGGGGCACTCTACCACTGAGCTACATCCCCAGCTTTTCTTATTTTTTGAGACAGGGTCTCACTGGGTTGCCAGGCTGGCCTCAAAGGTGATCGTCAACCTCCTGAGCAGCTGGGATCGCAGGTATGACCACTGCACCCATCCAAACCAGCCCTCTGAGGCAGCAGACAGGTGCAGAGGCTGGGTCTAGTAGTGTGCAGCAGGGATGTGGACACAGGGTAACCTACCCCAAACTCGCCCCATTCAGCCACACTAGCTTTGGAAGCCCCAGGACAGGGCCCTGTGGCACTGAGGCTGGGTAGCCCTCCACAGGTACACAGCATCTCCTGCTGCTGTGAGACATGGGCACCGCCCCAGGCCCTCAGTCTCTGGCCTCTGGTGTCACGGTGCTTCCTCCCACAGACTGAGCTCCTTCTACAGCTGCAGCTTGGGGCTCCTTATCCTCCTGCACCTGGAGGCTTTGGCAGCAGAAGCAGAGCAGGGACCCACGTGTGGGCCTGGCAGTGAGTGACCCAGGCCTTAGTCTCCCTGTCTATTGGATGGGCATGTGCAGGCACTTACCTCAAAGGGCACAGTGAGTGCAGAGGCAGTGACAAGTGGCCCTCCACAGACGGTGCTAAGACCCCAGCGACCACATCAAGCACAATGCTGTCTGTGTTACACCAGGGCACAGCCTGGCCCAGGCAGTGAAAGCAAACCTCCCAGATACAGCTCCACTCCTGCTGCCTAGTGCTCAGACCAGGGGGCCAGGGCCACCAAGAAGCCATGGGTTGTTACCAGGGCTGAGAAAAGCATGTGGGCCCAAGAACCTCGGCTGGCTGTGGATACTGAAGGGCAAGCTCCCTGGGTCCGTCAGGCAGGAGGCCACAGCATGGATGCAGAGAGCACCAACCACCAGCTTCTTGGATACAGGCTCAGGAGAGGCAAGGGCAAGTGGGGCCTTACCCGGTTCTTTCTGCATCCTGGTAACCAGTGGGGAAGGCTTGGCAGGGGCCTCTGCTCTTCTCAAAGGGAGTCCAGTGCCCTGCTCGGGCTCGATCACTGCACCCCGCCAGCTTCAGGGAAGGGAAAGCAGTCAGCCAGACCAAGGGTGCACGTCCACCACACCCCACACCCTCACACCACACAAGACCCATATCCAGAGAGTCCTATCTCTGGGGGGGTACACGGCCACAGAGCAATAGGAAAACAACTAGTTGGTCCTGATGTGCTCCAGGCCGTCTAGTCAGGATCACAGTCATGGTCACGGTCACCTGAATGTGGACAAGACACCTGGGCTGCTCTAAGCAAGGGGAGAACCTGGGGTTAGAGAGCACGGAGTGGTACTGAGGCCAGCAGGGGACTGTGAGAAAGGGTGCTGCAAGGGAAAGGGAGGCCAGAGGTGAGGGCTCCTAAGGCGAGTGACCACATAATTTATCATCCACACTGAGTCAAAGCGAGATGGACATGGGATGAAGGGCTGGTCACCTACACTGGCATTTTCCCTACTCACAAGATACACAGTAACCCAATGTCCCTTTCTGGGGTTTGGCCTGATGGGCAACACATAGGAATAGGCAAAAGGTTTGCCACGCAACACGGGGGCTGAGGACTGGCTCAAATAGTCTTTAGTTGTTGTTACAGGGGATTGAACCCAGGGGCACTTAACCACTAAGCCACATCCACAGCACTTTTTTGTATTTTTTTTATCTAGAGACAGGGTCTCACTGAGTTGCTTAGTGCCTTGCTAAGTTGCAAGACTGGCTTTGAACTCATGATCCTCTGGCCTCAGCCTCCCGAGCAGACAGGATTACAGGCATGTGCCCTGCACTCAGCCCAAATAGTCTCCCAAACAGTCACTTAATGACCTCAGCTGAACTGGTTCCAGATTAGCTAAAGGCCTCTTGATTCCACTGAGTGCCCATGACTTGGGAACACAAGTTCAAATGCTCTGACTCTGAAAGCAAACCTCCTTTTATTCATGCAACATGATTAAGAACTTCCATGGGATATGGTTTTCCCTCAAGTACACGTGTCCCTGTGGGCTGTCTGCCTGGGTTCCTGAGCCCAGGCCTCTGGCCCTGTCTTTGGGTTCAGCTCTAGAGGCTCAGACGACCTGCTCGGGCCAGCCCACCTGGTTGAGCTCCCACTCACTGTGTGCAGAGCGCTCAGGGCTGGGCCTTTCTGGGAGCAGGGTGTGAACAGACCACACCCCACCAGGCTGCCTGCCCTCTGCAAGTCCAGGCCCACCTCACACTCTCACCCTTGGTACCTGATGACGGTCCGCTGTGTGTTCTCTTCCTGATGAGCATCCCCCGGGGCTGCTGCCCGCTCCTTAGTGTCATCCTGTGTCCCAGCCTTGGAGTCCGTGTTGGGGGCTCTGATCTGCAGGTGGGGAGGCCCCCGTCGGAAATGCTTTCGAGGCCGCTGGACAAAAATCAGAGTCAGGTGAGACTGCCTATGGGCTACACTTCTAGGCATGCCAGGGTCCCCCAAGGGCACACCCACTCCGGAGAGGAGGGGGACTGGTGGGTCCACTCAACCTCAGGGGGTGATTTTGATTTTTAAGCACATTGCAGGCTTGGGAGATGACCTGCTTAGGAGCCTGGTGACAAGGCCAACTTGCTAGTACAGGCCTGGACAAAGACTTGAGAACCCTGGTGGAACAGTTCAGTGTCACAGTCCTAGAAGAGCAAGCGTGGCAAGGACCATGACTCTGGATGGAAGACCCAATGGCGCCACTCTGCTCCCCACTGCCTGCTACCCGTCCTGGGAAGACTGAAGGATACTGTGTCCTCACACAGCACAGGATCCAAACAACACAGGGTGACCCTCTGCTCCTCCACACTGAGGCAGCCCTGGCCACAGGCTTGGTGGATCTTCCAGCTCCATCCTCCATGTTTCCACAGCAGCAGGCACCGAATACCACTTGGCTTAATTTATATGTGATGAAGGGATTCTCAGTAGATAAACAATTTATTGAATCATGCTATATCTATGCCAAGGAAACCCCAGCTACAGCCAGGCACGAGGGCACACACCTGTAACTCCAACTACTTGGGAGGTCAGCCTCAGCAACTAAGCATGACCCTGTCTCAAAATCAAAAAGGACTGGGGCTGGGCTGAATGGTTAAGCGCCCCCTTGATTCAATCCCCAGTACCCAATCCCTTCAAAAAAAGAAAGAAAAGAAAACCCAGCTATAAAAACCTGTAAAGGGGACACTCTCATGATATGCACAGAGTATCCAGGACACAAATCCACAGACAACTGACCTAATTGTGCACACACATCCACCTAAATAAAACCTTTAAAATAAATACACTAAATCTTTCAAACACTTCTCTGGGTAGAGTGGCAATGAGTGTTTGGTTTTCCCCTTTTATACCTTTTTCAATGTTTCAGTTTTCCTTCCTAAGCATCTATAATGTTTGAGATCAGTCACAGCATACAGATTAACAGAAAAAGGTGTGGCAGAAACCAAGCCCCTCACTGCCAGATTTTCCAGGAAGAGCCAGAGGCTAAAGGAGAGATTCACAGGCTTCTGAGGGCAGCATGTCCCCCAAGTCCATGCAAGAGAGACCCAGAACATTCGCTGCGTGCTGCCCCAGCCCCTGCTGGACACCAGATGCAGGCTTCCAGAAAACCCCAGAGCAGTGTAGCACATCCTCACGCAGTCACGTGACTCCGCGTGGCAGCTGCACCATGCAGATGCAGCCTGCACACACCAACCCTCCCATCCAACAGAGCAGGCCCCCAACTGGCCAGAGGCACAACCATCCCATGAGGCCTGTCTTGTCCCTCACCACCTGCCCCACTGTGTGGTCTGACCACAGCACCACTGTTTACAGAAGGACGGGGGCTGGCCAGTGCAGGTGGTAGGCATCCCCCTGCTTTTCTGTACTTGCCACCACCTCCACGGAGCATCTAGTAATTATAACAACTTACATATTTAGGTTAAAAAAACCCACAATGCCCCCCATCTACAGTAAAGGGCCAACACAGTGGGCAGCTGTCTGGCCTTAACCTCCTAGCCCAGAGCTAATCCTTGGGAGGAAGCTCCCTAAGGCTGCTCTCAGCAAGGGCTTTTGGTCTCTGTCCACATGACACCCTGAAGGGATGTGAAACCTCCACCTGCAGTCTAGAACAGTGCCCATGGAGAAGCACCTGAGCCCAGCCACGTCTGGTAGGCCCAGTCATGGACATGTGGATAACAGTAACCGATACCTAAGAGCACAGCAGCTATACTGCCATGGGTGCCTGCCCTAGCTCTCAAGGGGCTCAGGTCTCGTACTTCTCCATTCTAAGCCTCTCACCCACAAGTCATTTTGCAGGTCCTCTTCCTGCCTCTGGCCCATCCCTGGACTCCACTTTCTCTGCCCTGTTCCCTCACTCCAAGTTTCTTAGCATGGATGCCCCAGGGCTTGGCTTGGTCCTTCCCCGACTCCTACATAACACACAACACACACCATCTCTACCTGGGAAATTGCCACATCTACTTCCCTTGCCCCGTGATCCTGACACAGTCCATCTACTGAATGCTCCCAGGGACTACTAACAAAGCAGTACCAAATATAGGGCCTAACTATCCCCAGACTGCTTCCTGATCAGCACTCCACTGGCCCCTCTGCCTGGGGACCCTTACTCCCTCCCTATCTCACACCTACTCCCATGGAGCCTTCCTTCACTGCAAGGGTGCCCATGGTAAGCAAAGCTCAGGTCTCCATTCTACCTTCCCTGAGTACCTAACATTGTGTCTCCACTGGGCCACCAGTGTTCACAGCCAACATCATGGACGTGGCTCTCTGTTGAGATCATCCTGGGCACATCAAGAGAAAGCTCTAGGGGCTGGGATTGTGGCTCAGAGGTAGAGCACTTGCCTGGCATGCATGAGGCACTGAGTTCAATCCTCAGCACTACATAAAAATAAA